CAGCAGCCGCAGCAGCAGCAGCAGCAGCAGCAGCAGCAGCGGCTGCTGCTGCTGCTGCAGTAGGGCTAGCCTTCTTTCCTGTATCTTTAGTTTCCCTTTTATTGAGTTAAATATAAATGCATTAAATTTATATTTATTTTAATATATATATTATTTCGTTCTGAAGATAGACGGGTACTGCTCGCTGCACCGCTGCTGCTGCTGCTGCTGCTGCTGCTGCTGCTGCTGCTGCTGCTGTTGCTCCTGGCCGCTGCCCACGATGAGGCACGGCCTCGGAGCATGGGCCCCAAAGGAGACAGCAGTGTCTCCTCTAAGTCTCTTTCCTTCTTTGTTTGTTTCTTATACCTTTTATGTTAATGCATTTGCTGGTTTGTCTCCTTATGAAGAGCTGTCGTTTATTGCTGCAGGCCTAAGGAGACAGACACCCCAGCTGCTTCTTCTTAGGGCCCCAGCTGTCTCCCCTGTCTCCTTTGGGGGCTGCAGCAGCCGATGAAGAAGAATAAGTAGGCCTTCTCTGCTATAAGATAACCCCTCTGTCTCTTAACTAACTCTATATAGAGACAAATAGACAGCGAAGCGGAGATAAGCAGAGACAAGAGAGACTGAAGGTAGAGACAGAGAGAGACAGCAGAGATTACAGACAGATATAAAAAGAAGAGACAGCACACAGGGACAGAGAGAGACAGGAAAGACAGCAGATAGAGGCACACAGACACAGACACAGACACAGACACACACACACACACACACACACACACACACACACACACACACACACACACACACACACACACACACACAGAGAGAGAGAGAGAGAGAGAGAGAGACAAGGACAGAGACAGAGAGACATAGAGACGGAGAGAGACACAAAGAGAGATAGGCAGAAAGAGAGGCAGAGAGCGAGAGAGAGAGACAGAAAGAGAGAGAGAGAGGGAGACAGAGAGAGGCAGAGAGAGACAGAGACAGAGGAGACTGCAAGTAGAGACAGCTGGAGAACGAAGGAGTTAATGAAGAAAGAGAGCCCTAAGGATGCTGTTTGTGTCTGTTTAGCTGGCTTTAAGAATGTGCGGATGGGACAGCTGTCTCCAAGTGTCTCCGTGCCTCTTAATGCGGTGTCTCTGCTCCCTCTTAGCCTCTGCCCTGCTGCGCCTGGGTGTTATTGCCGAGAGCAGCCGATAGAACTTCGTCTCTGTCTTCTCTGCAGCAGCAGCAGCAGCTGCTGCTGCTGCTGTTGCAGAGAAGCAGACGGAGAGAGCGGGTGCAGCAGCAGCTACAGAGGAACAAACGACAGAGACAGCCCTTGCAGCAGCAGGTACACAAACAGAGACAGCAGCAGCAACAGCGGCAGCAGCCACAGAGAGGACAGGAGCTGCAACAGCAATCACAGAGGAGGAGACACTGAGCGCAGCAGCAACCTCAGAAAGAGAAAGAGAGAGAGAGAGAGACAGAGAGAGAGAGAGAGAGAGAGAGAGAGAGAGAGAGAGAGAGAGAG